CAGAAAGATCTGTGAACCCACTCACATGTAGGTGTGTCAATGACTGAAGAGGTGAATTTATGGGGTCCCAGTCAATGAGCCAATAAAGCCTTAGGGCAGAAATGGGCAGCTAATGATAAGTTTCTGGATGAAGGAAGAAGTACTGGGTAGACTTTCATCACACCAGTTGTCTATCAACACCACAAAGGGTCAAGGGTCAGAGCATGAGACTTAGAGCCAACTCAGTCAGCCAGCTGCAGCCTCCAGTGACTGCAAGTGCAAAGGGAGCTGTATCCTGAGAGAAATTTCCTGTCAAGCCTGCATCTGCAGCTCAAAAGGTAGCCCAGGTTCCAGCTACCCCTGGGATGGAGTCTGCTTGAGAAGTGTTCAAGGACTCTTTTCAGAATATTACAGACCCTTTGGGCAGGGGAAGGAATTGAAGGAATAATGAGAAATGCTGATATTAATCTCGACTCCTCTGAACCTGCCTAATCTAACTTCTTGAAGAGTCTAAGAATCCACAGCCCACAGATGCAGGGAGAGACACACAGGATCCATATGCCAACCCTCATGTAAGTAGAGAAAAATCATGTGTAGTGAATTGAATAATGGTCACCAAAAGATACACCCAAGTCCTAATCTCTGGCACCTGTGAAGGTGATCTTATTTGGAAACAAGGTTTTTGCAGATATAATCAAGCATCTTGAGATGAAATCAGGCTACATTTAAGGTGGGACCTAAATACAGTGACATGTGTCCCTATAAGAGACAAATTTGAGATATAGAGTCCCAGAAAAGAATGCCATGTGAAGATGGAGGCAGAAATTGGAGTGATCATTTATAAGCCAAGGAACACCAGAGATTACCAGCAATCACCAGAAGCCAGGAAAGAGGCATGGAATGGATATTCCTGCAAAGCCTCCAGAGGGTACCAACCCTTCACTTGATTTTGGACTGCTGGCTTCCAGAACTGTGAGAGAATACATTTCTGTTATTTTAAGTGACCCAGTTTGTGTTAATTTGTTACAGCAACTACAAGAAACTAAGACACAAAGGTACAACAGGAGTGGACTAAAAGTCTGAATGACTCTATTCTGGCATTGCAGTAACCCAGTCATCTGTGGTGACATTGTTAGCCATTCCAGAACTCCAGACAGTGTTTCTCAACCTTTTGAAAACTAAGTCATCTTGATAAACAGAATAATCTCAGTAGCAGAGTTCCATCTAGGACCTCCACCAGAAACAAAATAAAAAAAGCAAGAACTTGAAAATCAGTGCCCTGGAAGAGACTTGAGTTGATACAGGAAGAATGTCAGCCCTCCCAGCTGAGTCTACTCCCATTCTTCCTCTACGTGCATATGAGCGAGGAGTTGGGGAGGGGCTGCCGATCCGTTTTCCATTTCCAAGCTAGGGTTCATGCTAGAGATCAAAATCTTGTCTTGCTGGAGAAGAAAAATATGTTCCCTTAACTACATTCCAAAACACCGGAAGTAGTATACATCAAACATGTCCCTGGCACTTCTTAAAAAGTCAGAATGCCTCAACTTGATTATTCCTCAAGATTTTATTAATTTGTAATATTGTGTTCCATCAAGATCATCACTTTTTATTATCTTGCTGCTCTGAATTGTATCTCCCTTATTATTCTCAGCTACAGAGGCCATAAATTAAAATCATTCACAATTTATACTCTTACAGTTCATTATCTATGATTGGTATTATCTCACTGCCTTTTTCTGGCCCTTCTATATCCCCTGGCAAGAAATATTGCAGTAGAGTCTAAATACCATCCAACTAATAAATGTTGAGTTAAAAAAAAAAAAACCTCTAGTGACTACACTAGCCTAAAGATCACCCATCACTCCTTCTAGCTCCACCATCAGCATCTTTCTGCAAAAATGACAGAGAAAGTGAGATTCTAAAGAGTTGAGCATTAGGACTGGGATGTAGGTCCTTGCTTTGCTATTGCGTAAATTGGGCACATCATTTTCTCTCACTTCACCTTTACCTCTTTCCCTGAAGGTCAAGGGACATTAAGATACATCAGCCTGCTTCATGAGGAGCAACTCTACTTCAGGGAACAGGTAGTGATGTGATCAGTTGACTCAAAAAGCAATGACTGGCCCATTACTGGAAGTTCTGAACACTTGTCAGTGACATTCCAGAAGTGTCTCTACAAAGGCTGGGAGGCTGGTCCCTTGTTTCTAAGACTGATCAAGCCAGTGAGAGTATAGATCCCTCTATCAGACCCCAGGAAAAATGAACACAAGCTTCTGACAGTAGTGAGATTCCCCCACTAAAGTTCAAGTTCACTAAAGAACTTGATGAAGTGGACTGGTGTATCCGCAGGGGCTTCTGCCGTGGTTGTTCACATCACCGCTCTTAGTGATGTGACACACCACCACGTTGCGAAGAGCAATGGTTTCTCAGAGAGATGGAAGTTGACAACACTTACTAAAAAATGGGTATTCCAATCCTGACTGATTCATCTAATGGAAAAAGGTTCACATTCAGTGCATGTCCTGACCCTGGGGACCCAGCTTTTTAAAAACACAAAGGCCTCGATATATTTCCACATTCAGGAACATTGAGATGTGAGCATTTATTTCTTCCTCCCCTCCTCTCCTTCTTCCATTTTTCTTCTCACAGCTCTCAGTGTAACATGCAGACACCAGAGATCACAAGATAGAGGGTGGAGGAGGAGAAACAGGTCAGAGAGTGGCAATGCACAATCTATGGGCACTGTTTAAAAAATTGTTTAAAAATTTAAAAAGCACTGACTTTCAAAGTTATAAAGTCTGACTCCACAAAGTCTGTGGACAATTGCCACTTGTCCCTCTCTCCTGATCTCACTGAACTGTGACCACAATTCAATAGTTATGAAATTAAAAAAATCTACAATGACTAAAAATGCATGTACTGCCAGGACTGTTTCTAGAAGTTAGAAATTCGGATCCAGAGATATCCTTAGGGGTAGTTGAATGGGCGTAAGTCTGAAAGGGCATCCACATTAATAGTATAACAAATCTAGCTATGCCTCAGATTCACCTGAGAAACTTATAAAAACATACAATAACATAAGGTCCCATGGAAACTGAAGCTGCAATGAGATAGTGTATTTTATGCACCAGATGGACAAAAATGACAAAGCCTGACAATTCTAGGTGCTGGCGAGGATGTACAGTCCTGGGGAGGAATACTAATACATCACTAGTGGGAGTATACCTCAGTGTCACCACTTTGGAAAATAGACTGGTATTACCTATTGAAATGGAAGCTGCACCCCGAGACCCAGCAATTCCCTCCTACTTCTATGCTCTAGGGAAACTCTTGGACATGCACACGCACCAAGAGACATGTACAGAAATGCTTACAGTGGTGGTGTTGGTAATAATAAAAACCTGGAAACAACCCAAATGTCTAATGACAGTAGAAGAGATAAATTGTGGTATTTTAATGCAAGGGATTAAAAACCAAATGAACCACAGCTACATGCATCAAAATGGGCAAATCACAAAATGCCAGTATTATTCCATTTATATAACAGGTTGCAAACCTAATCAATATGTTGTTTGGGGCTCAATACATAAGTGGTAAGCCCATAAAGAAAAGCAAATGAATGATTAACAGAAAATGCAGGCTAGTGGGCTATCTCAAGGGAGGGAGAGATTTTGATCTAGGTGGAAGACAGAAGAGGGACTGACAATAGTCAAATTCTTACACTTGGTGGTGAGAACACTGCGTCGATTTTATTGTAATCTTTAACCCATATGTATATATGTTCTATCTACTTTTTCGCACATTTAAAAATATACAGATTTCTAGGCTCCATCTCACATTTATTAAATCAGAATCTCAGGCTGTGGGGCCCAGGCAGTATTTTTTCACAAGTTCTTCAGAAGATTCAGAGGCACTCTCGGGTTGAGCCACTTACCTACACACACACACACACACACACACACACACACACACACACCACAAAACACATCAGTAACCAGGTGAAAGCAACTTAAAATATAAATCAAGACCAAGCAATTGCAAGAGAGTCATAAAAACAGAAAAGGTCAGCCTGGGAGAGTGTGTAGAAAGGAAATGTGTCTCACAGTTCAAGGTTCGAGGCTGGTGTAGAAGCCTGAGAGCATTAATTATTTTTGTGCCACCTCCAACCTTCCCCATGAGCTTACCTGAGCCCCATCCCTGTTAGATTCTCAGCAGCATGAGCCTGAGATAATTTTCCCCAAGAACTGGGTCCAGGGAAGGCTTTCACCATAGCCAATGTTACAAAGACAGAAACACGATGTGGTAGATGGTGTCCTTGTCTATGATGCATCACAGCAGACATCTAGACCTGGACCCACATGTACAAGCTGTGTGATCTTCACCAAGTCACTTCCCCTCCCTGAGCCCTGGCTTTTTCATCTGCCCTGCCTCCTTCACAAAACTGGAATCCAATGAGACAGTGCAGGTGGAAGGGCTTTGCAAAGTGAAAGTACTACTTTGAATGTCCAGTAAGTCTATTACCATGTCAGTTGTTATTTCTTCCTAAAAGCCAGAACCATAGGCTGCCAGTTCTGGCTCAGTAGAGTTTTCTGGGTCCAAGGAATTCGGAGCTTTAAGATTTACCTCAGAGGGACCTGAAGGCAGGACTAGGGCTTAGTGCCTCCACATCTCTCTCTTAAAAACTCAGCAAATACTTAAAATAACCCACCACTTATCCAGAACCTACCTTTTCCAGTCCCTGATCATTCAGAAGATGTTCATAAACAGCTCAGGACTTCCAGAAGCACCTTGCAAAGCTAATATTCAGCCTGAATATTCATTAATGGCTTTGAAACTAACATTTAACCCAGTTATACAATATCTTCCAAATTAGGGTTGCTGGATTTAGCAAATAAAAATGCAGGACACTCAATTATATTCGAATATTTCTGTATAATTGGAATAATTTTTAAGTATAAGTATCTCCCAACTATTGCATGAGACATACTTATACTAAAAAATCATTTGTTGTTTACCTGAACCTCAAATTTAACTGGATGTCCTGTATTTTATATGGCAACCCTATTCAAATGAACAAACAGATTAGCACTTTCTCCTGCATCTTACATTGGGAAATCTGCATGAAAGAGAATTATAAATCCTATTTGCTTAGTAAGAAAGTAAAGGGTTGGATTGATTTTGAAACTGGACTTGCATTCTCCTTTCCTTGTGCAGCCCAAGAAGACATGCAGAAGCATAGATATTAAAAACAGGTTTTAAGGGAAAAAGGATAGAGCAGAGGTGGGCAAGCCTCAAAATATCAAACAGAAATAGATGTCCCAGCCCTGTCCCGACCGATCCAGAACACTTCACAGTGGCCTCTACCCTTACCTCTGGGCATCTCTTTGGAATGCTCTGCCTCGGGTCCATCCAACAGGTCCATCTGGGAGGCCTCCTCGGAGGGGACGCGGCGCCAGGACCAGCTCTGATTCCCGAGGTCGTGCAATGGAGGGGAATACTCTAGCTCACAGGGGAAGTCAAAGCTGCACTCCAGACCTGCAACGAGAGCCAAAGGTCAGTGGAGCAAGCTGTCTCCCAAACACCACCTTCCAGCCCCATCCCTCCACCTCAGGAAGTTAGCCTTCATCTCATCCACAACCTTCACCCTATCTAGGGGTGGTGAGTTGCCAATTCCGCAGGTGGCTAGGCTCCTATTGGGGAAAAGGGGACTAGGAGAGAAAAAGTGTTCTTTGCATAATTCAGATTATGGAAGGAGTCCTCAGAGAAGGCAAGTAAAAAAAAACAAGAAAGCCAACAGGTTGACCACGAGGAGCTCTGCATCCTATGAGATTAGCTGGTGACATGGAGAGGCCCTGAGGTCAAATGGGTAGAGCTCGGCTTTGCAACCAGATAGGTCTGAATGTAAGTCTGGCTCTGCCATTTACCAACTGGGTGATTCCAGGCAAGAAACTTACCTTTCTGACTTCAAATTTCCTTACCTGTACATTGGAGATGATAATATCTACTGGTGGAGTTTGCTGGAAGAACTAGTTGGATAATGCCTTATCTTATACATGAGCCTGGGACACAGGCGATGCTCAGGAAAAACCCTGAGCCTTCCCTGGCTGAGAAGAGAAAGGCCAAAGGGAACACAAGTCTTACTCACAGCCCTGCATGCCAGCCCTGTCAGCTACCCTTCAAGGCCCTCCAGAGAAGAGGGCCAAGGCTAGGGCAGCTAATCAGGGCTTATTCTCTCTCGGGAAGGGAATGGGGAGGTCACTGGGTAAGGAGAGAAAGACAGCGGGGCAGAAAGAGCCATGCCCTGGGACATTTTATGATCTGTTTTTGGGCTTCTTTGGAGGGAGTCATCCTTGTGTCCCAATCACTCCCTGCCTGCCCTACTTTTAGGGTAGCTCACCTTCTCTTGTCCCTTCCTTACTCATTGTATATTACCCAAAGTGGCTGAAGTACTTTGTACATGATAAGCTCTCAATGTTTGCTGATGGATCAACAGAATGTGTGCCAAAAAGCAAATTAGTCAGTCACCTTTCACTTCATCGTCTCCCCTCAGCTGTGGGAATGTGAAGAAAGAGAGAATCTGATATAAAGGACAGACCATTGAACTAGGAATATGGGGAATTTTGTTTGTGTCCTTGCTTAGCCAGTTGCCTCTCATGTGTGGACTTTGGTACCCTCATCTGCAAAACAAGGGGTTTAGACTAGATGATTCTAGAAACAAGCACTCCATGAAACCTGGGTTCCAGCTCCAGCTCTGCCACTAATTTGCTGGTTACCTTGGATAAGCCACTTAATCTCTCTGGGCCTCAAGTTCCTCAAACACAAGATGAGACCCAAACCAAGTGTTTTCTAAAGCTCCTTGTTGATTTGACTTTTTTAATATTTGAAAGTCCTTACTCTTAGAGGAGTTATAGCTAATTTGATAAATCAATCTGTATGGTGGTGCTAATGGGTGCTAACACTCAACTAGTATGGTGGGTGTTTTTTGTTTTGTTTTGTTTTTCAGTGAGGAAGACTGGCCCTAAGCTAACATCTGTGCCAATCTTCCTGCACTTTGTACATGGGACATCGCCACGGCATGGCTTGACAAGCTGTATGTAGGTCCGTGCCCAGGATCTGAACCTGTGAACCCTGGACTGCTGAAGCGGAGCGTGCAAACTTAGCCACTATGCCATCAGGCCAGCCCCAGCATTGTGTATTTTAACAGCTGCTTCTGGGGCTACTGCTCCCTTGATTTCCAAGATGAGTCTGGTGTTGGGAATTTCAGAATGCAGAGAAGTGGGACTGATTCTATCACAGGCAGCCAGTCACTGATTGTCCCTTAATCACACCCAAAGGAAGCTGGCTCTGCCCCAGAGTGGGAGTAAAATAATTCCCATTGACACTAGCCAAACTATCTAAGTTTAGGAAGGAATGAAAAAAATCCTTCAATTACACCATTGTTAAGTATCTTTCTGCTTTCTGGCCTGCAGAGATTTATGTACCAGTTTCTCTCCAGAAGCTGCCATCCTTCTGGTCCTAAGGTTAATACCACTCACCCTTTCATGACTCAGACAATTCACCTTTATAATGGCAAGCTGAAACGGGCAGAGCTAGCCTTGTTTGAGTTGACATGCCACTTGCTGCCTACACATTTTATCAGCCTTGAGGACTTTCTACCTGCCTCTGAGGACTGAGCTGCTTCTATAAGTAGATGTCCATGAATTGTAAGCTGCCTTAATGTTCAAGACTTGCTTACCAGGCACCTGGTTTTGACAGCAGAATGCAAGGACAAAACCGATCCAGCATTTTGTTCTTTGCAACACAAAAATTATCCTTAGAATGAAAGGTGTAGCCATTAAACCTGGCTCCTTTGGGGATGGTCAAAAAGATTCATCCACATTAGTGGGTTATCAAGTCAGAAGATGAAAGAGAAAGCTACCAGCTGCCCTCATCCCACATCGACAACTATTGGTGCCTTTCCTGAAGCTTCAACCTCTGTAGCCCATTCTCTGCCTTGGATTTTCTCTTCCAATTAAAGTCATCCTATTTCCATTTGGGACAGGGGTGTGGTATGCCAGCTCAGACACTGCCTGGTAAATGTGCCCTGTGCACATCTTGGACAAGCAGACAATAGAATATACAAGCTCAGCAAGGAGCAGCATCAATCCTGGGATCTTTGAACTCTGGAAAGTCTGATAATCGGCTCTTTTGAGGCCAAACCACACCTAGTGAAACAGGCTAGGCAGATACTCCGATTATCAAAGAGGTTCATGATTGCTTTTCAGAGAGAGAGCACAAGATCTGAGATTTGACTCCAATTCTGCCACCTGACAGCTGTGCAATGTGGGGCACTCTCATACTCTCTGAGCCTTGGTCATCTCAGTGATAAGACCAACTTCCCAGAAGCGCTGGGAGGATGCAATGAGACGATGCATGTGCTTGGAATGGAGAAATCCCAAAACCACATCAGCTGATTCAGAGTTTTTACAGTCATGTTGTTTTTGAACACAGCCTCCTGTTTAACATGAGAAATAGTATTTATGTGGGGCATTCTAACTGATTGCAGGTGACCATTTCCTCAGTATTTTATTGTACCATTGGAAGATTGGCATGTCTGCCTATAAGTGATACTCACAGAGTCAGAGACTGTTAGAACTTGAAGTGACATTTGAGGTCAACCATTTCTCACATTGGACAGGTAGAAAAACCAAGACCGAGGCAAAGAAAAGACTTACCCAGGGTCATGTGGCTAATCAGAGAGTCCTTCACACACAGTGTGGAGGGAATTTCTCTTAGCTGTGGAGGCTTTTGTGAATGCTATCTTTTCCAGGCAGCATGAGGCCTGGGCCAAGTTGAACGTCAGAGTTATTGAATCACCAGCTCTTACTTTCTCAGGCAGGCTTAGTAGCACATTTAAGCCGAGACTGGATTGCTTCATAGGTGGCATATACAAACGCCAATGTATTCCTGACAAGCCTGATTTGTGTATTCAATAAAGAACCATACGAAGCGTCATGCACATGTGGGAATTCTCTTATAGATGGCCTTTACAGGCATCCATATTTGAAGCTACAGTTCATTAAATAGAGCCCCAGAAACCAACATTCTTCAAACACTGTCAGTTCTTAAGGATTGTATCCAACTCAAGAGAATCCCCTTGGCAGCCATCAATCCTGTGGCACAAGGCAGGGTCTCCTTTTCTCAAGAGATTTTCCAGAACTTTCCAATCGTTGACCTTCATGCTCATGAGTGACCTTGGGGACCATCTGAGATGAAACTGAGGCCCAGAGACATGATGGAGCTTGCCAAAGGATGCACAGTGGATGGGTGACAGAATTGGTACTGAAATTCAGTTCCTAACTATGTGATTTTTAGTATTATATACAAAGCTATGAGTAAAAAACAAACAAAACAATACCTTAAACAATTAGGAACATTCTCAAAAATCCATACTGGTTTTCTGGAATAAGCTGGCAAAAACATACATGGCTAGGTTTCAAATATCTCCCAGTGATTAGATGGCTCACATAATCTCCAATAAGGCTTTCTGGCTTCTATCATCCTAGATGTACTCTTCTGCCAACAAACTGTTTTTTGATGGTTGCTGGAAGCTCCCTGTTGGCGAGCAGGTCTGTGCACAGGCCAGAAGTTACAGTGAGAACAGAGAGAGGGAAAGAGGTGGCCTAGAAGTGGAAAGGAGAGATCACTACAGAACTCTTAGAAACTCTTTCAGCTCTGAGCGAATCAGGCTTGTGCTTTTGGGCAATTCATTTAACACTTGAGTTTTGGTTTCCTCATGTATAAACCAGAGAGAATTATCACAATAATGATGATCAAAATAATAATAATAATAATAATAATAATAATAATATCTGCTGTGACAATCAAATAAGGTAATGAGTGTGGAAGTGATTTCTTAACTATGAGACTCTGTATGGATGTTCTTACCACTTTGGCCTTGTGATGCAGGACACATCACTTGGTCTCCCTGGGCCTCAGATTTACTACCAGGAACCTAGGGATGAGCTGAACTGACTTGACCTTGGAAGACCCACAGGCATGCTGAGTAAACAGGTATCCTCCTTCCTTGTCCTGTTTTATGTCAGACTCTCAGAGGGGCGCCAGAGGGTCTGGGTAGTAATTAGAAGCATAGATCCTGCATGGGGTCAGGCTGCTCAAGGTGAAAGCATGGCTTTGTCACTTTACTAGCTATATATCTCAGGGCAAATTATTTCATTTTTCTGTGCCTGAATTTTTCCATCTGTAAAATGGGGATTAAAGCAGGGACCACCTCAGGGACTTATCATGAGGAGGATTAAATGCAAGACAGGCATACCTCGTTCTACTGTGCTTCACTTTATTGCACTTCAAAGATATTGTGTTTTTTACAAATTGAAGGTTTATGGCAACCCTGTGTTGAGCAAGTCTATGGGTGCCATTTCCCAACAGCATTTGCTCACTTCATCTCTCTGTGTCACATTTTGGCAATTCTTACAATATTTCAAGCTTTTTCATTATTCTTATATTTGTTATGGTGATCTGTGGTCAGTGATCTT